GCAGTACTCCAGCCTAGAGAGAACTAGTGATTTAAAAAGGATCATCATTGGCATTGTATCCCTTGTTTTGAAAGTTCTCATTATCCATCTTATCATTTTCCTCAGATGTGATAGTGACACTGTTGTGAGGCTTGTAAGTGAGATCCTCTGACATTATCACTCCCAAGTCCTTCACATTAGTGTTTCACTCTGTTATGTGGTTAGAATTTGTTGTATACTCTGTCCTAGCTATTATTTCCCCAAGTTTTCCACATCAGAGTAATACTGCACTCTTGATAATTGTAACGTGTAGAGGCTTATTGGAACACATTTTAATGGTGACAGCTTATTGAAGAAAATATGAAACACAGCCATTGATGGATTACCAAGGTTCATTGTTCAATAAAACTGATGAATCTGAACTGCCCTAGAAAAAAATTGGACTGACTTTTAAATTTACGAAGATCCAGTAGAGCCAGGTTTTATGAGGTAATGAGACAAATTATATGAATTTTTTGCAGTACTGTTTTGTTTTTTTATAAATATTGTATTATACAGAATGTTTTATCCCTTTAATGAGTAAAAGGCTCAATAAAAATTGATTTAATATAGGGAAAGGAGATCAGTGGAAAGGAAGAAAGGGGGGGTTGTAAGAGACCATTGAAATGCAAAGGGGCTGGGAGATCACTGGACAGGAGATCACTGATCACTGGAAAGGTTGAAATGGGACTGGATGTCAATATATGAAAGAGGAAAGGGAGATCTTAGACTGCAAACACTATAAAGATTCAGACAAACATCAGTAAATATATAATGTAGTTAAAAAAAAAATGACATGGTCAGGAAGTGACCCAGCTCATGGTAGTTTCAGAGGATGGGGAGAAACGTTTCAGTTTCAAACTTTGGGACAAACCAAGATTTTTTCCACACATGTAGGAAAGTCAAATCATTCAGACAGAACTTTTGGAGCTACTCTACACTAAGGATCAAATTTTTGTAAAGAAATACATACTGTAGTAAAAAAAAAGGTTAATTTATTAGAATTATAAATTTGTAAAAGTAATTTTAAGCAGAATTGTTGAGTAATATAGTGTGAAATAAATAATTTGGTGAAGAAACTTATTTCTGGGAGCTTTCTTTATGGGATGGATACCTTGTGCTTTTTTTTTTATGGTTTGACTGAGAGTGGTGTGTTCTTGATTGCCTCTAATGAGTTTGAATGTATGTTGTATGAGTATTAATTTTAACTGGTTCATGGTTGGTAGCACTCTTATGATCATCAGGTCATAGTATTCAGAAAATCTCAACTTCTTTCTACCTTTTTTCTCCACTCTAATTATGTTGCCTTCACCTTTATATTTCCTCCTCCTATTTCTGTCACTCCTTCACCACCTCCCCCCTTTCCTTACCACTGCTGCCTGTCAACCATGATGGCCACCCGTCTCCCTCACTCTTCCTCGCCACAATGCATCTCTTGTCAGTATCCCCCTTCCTCGCTGTCACCCTCCTCTCCCTTACCCTCTTTTACCTTCCTTTCCCCTCACCACCATCCTCCTGTGCCTTGCCACCTTGCTCTGTCTCTTATCCCTTACCTCCATATTCCTTGCCATCATCCTCATCTCCCCTGCCACTGCCCTCATCTCCCCTGCCACTCCCCTCATCTCCCTCACTGCTGCTCTCCTCTTGCTTCCCATCGCCTTCCTCTTCCTTGCCATCACTTTCCAATCCCTTGCCACCATTTTCTTCTCCCTCACTGTTGCCGTCTCCCAGAATATTGCCCTCTTTGCTGCCGCCCTCTTCGCTGCCACCCTCCTCTCTCCTTTCCCACGCTGTTTCGTGCATCTCCCTTGCTGTTGTCCCCTTCCATGCTGCTGTCCTCTTTGTCCACCTGCACCCTTTCTTCTCCATCTACACATTCCTTCTCAGAATGGTCTTGTTTTACCCTCGCCCTTCTCTGCCCTCATTTTTTTTCCCCTCCCCTCTCTTATTTCTCCCCTTTCCCTCCCTTCATTTTATGTACGTATTGTATATTTGCACAGTTGAATTTACACTGAAGGATTGATTTTCTTCTTGAATATAATTATTATAGCATTTTTCATGTACAGTACTGTATATCATTAATGGTTCTTATTTTTTTTTTACGAGGCCATCTTTTAAATACAGTACTTTAAAGATCGTTTATCTTGCTTCCGTGAAACAGACGTCTGTGCAAGAATTGTCGTATCATATGTGGTATTTAATAACTGAATTCCTGATAGGAGTTATTAGGCATTTTGTTTTTACTTTAAAGCTTTTTGCCTTAATATAAAGTCTCTCTCCTGTATATACTGTAGTCTCTAGTTAGGTATTGTTTTCTAAACAAATTCATCGGTATCTTTTATGCATTGCAGTACATTGGAACAAAGTACATGCTTGTCATATTCAATCAACTCATAATGTTGGCAGGTAGTAGATGACAAATGCCTACACAAGGTGAATCAAAGATATACCATAAGCTTTTTGTTGAAGGATGGACATATTGTCTGCTGTGGGGCTTGAAGTACAGTACTTGACAAAGCCTGCCCTACATCAGACAAAAATGTCCTTAAATAAAAGGTTTACTGTGTGTCTGATCATTATGATAATGTTGCTCTCTTGATTCTTCGGTAATAATGTAACAGTGTTGATCTTGGTGTGTAAGGCACTGTTTTCTGGACACACCTCAGTTTATGCTTGATGAATTATAGGCTTGATAGTTAAATTCCACAGGTTGTGACAATAGTATACATTGTCTGCACATGGTTGATAGCAAAAACAATAAGATTCGACCAAGACTGAAAGTCACATTTAAAGTTTCTTCTTTTAATAACCATAGTTTGAATTGTCATTGTGAGAGCAGAGGCATGAAGGTGAGGGTGAGGATTATTATATATACAAAGTAAATCTTTTTTGGAATGAATCTTATCAATATTCTTAAGAAGGCAATACTGGCATCGTGAATGCATCTCTTCATATTTTTAACATAGATATAAAGATCTTGTTCTTAATGATGTTCATGGGAAGGATTTCATTTAGATAATCATATTTTTCAGTAAAAGACAGAAGCTGTGTGATAAACACTATTTCATTTTTATTACTTTTATGGATTAACATTGGAATATTAATAGTTATTTTGATTATGTATTTGTTTTATATGTTGTAGTGCACCCCATAGTATGGACTATTGAATAATTTTTAGTGTAATTTTAATTATTCCAACATCTGTCCCCCTAGTCTTTGACCCAGGGATCACACACTATACCTTTTAACCTGTGTTAGCCACCCAGTGTTGACCTGGCTTCTGGGCACTTACCAACCTTAACTTGCTCTCCTTTGAGTTTAAAGGTGGTATACTCACTAAACTTGATATTGTTTCATGTGTTTTTTTTTTTTTTTTTTTTTTTTTTAAATTTTGTTAGTCATTAATAATTATTTACAGGAAGCTATATAAAATGAAATAGTTAAGGGTATTTAATTTTTATGCAGGGGAACATGCTGCAGCCAAGCTTTTAGAGGTGGGCTGCTCTTAAAACTGAAATATTGTTTATAATCCATTAAGTTAATATATAGCTAGGCAGGTGGTCCATGCTGGACCCCACACTAGCCTTCTACATGTTGGACACATTCAGGAAGCCATGCAGTCATGATGCTTCAGTCTTAATACAAATTTACTGCCAGTCACTTTACTGCCTCTCTTAAGGATGCTCTTATCAAATGCATTTTTTTCCTTTATAAAATTTAATTTATTCTGGAATGATTGCTTGTTTTAATTTAGTATCATTCTCGATATAGAAACAGTACATTTAGTCACATTGGATATATACAGTAATACTTTATACATATGTAAGTGATTTACATTGGTGGTTTCATGTAATTGATAAGTTGATTCTCTAATACTTTTGAGAACATTGTTGTTTTCAGTCAAATAGCTATGTAAAAATTTCAATAAGAGCTCTTATTTTTTATACATTTATGATGCCTACATATGTAATACACATGTTGTATAAATGAAAACCTTAAAAAGTAAAATGTACACTGACACTCAAATTAAGCTTTGTGTTTAATACTAGGTTATTATCTAACATTCTTAACAATAATAATAAATGTTTTGATGTACACTATTACTTTATAATATAATGGCATCCCTTTGCACTTGTATTCTTATCACTAGATTTCTGCCTTATATAAAAAATACATTTGTATGAATAGTGTCTTAAAATAAACCAAGAAAACCTGTAAAATGAATGCCTGAAGAAGCATACAGGTGTACAAACAAATACTTAGCATATACATCCTTGTTCACATGGACATACACTTGAGTGAACTGATGGGAAAGATTTATAAAATCTTTAATAAAGTGGAACAACAGATGTGGAAAATAACACATCTTGTTGGTATTACCATACGTATCATTTGTCAGGAAACTAACGTGCCAAAAGGACACTAAAATGAGCCCTTTTGAAATTGGTTGTAGATGGCTAGAATGATTTCCAAAAAAGTGATGAGATGTGTCACAACCACTGGAATATTTAGATATTTGACATACTTTAAAAGGGACATCATTAGCAAAGCTCTACTCTTATAGCTACACAACACTTTGTTGTCAAGAAACATGCAGTATGCTCTAAAGAATATTTTAAAAAATATTGAGCTAAATTATTGTAGGTAAACAGATTCATTTGAAGTTAATGGTACTGCCAGCTGTTAGTTGTGCCATAAAGGAGTTTGTTTTAATAATGTCTTTATTAAAATATATGAGATTCAGTTACCAACTTTAACAAAAAAGCAATAATAATGGTTTAAATGAGAATCTGCTACTAGATTTCATGGGACCTTCCACATCACAGAAAAAAGTTAAACATTTAAGTACATATATATAGGCTGTCAGTGCTTCAGAATGCTTTGGCAATCTTCTACCTTAAAGATTGTGAAATATTCTAATAATGTTACAGAACAAAATTATCATCCTTAATGTTCATGCTGAGACACTTAATTTCTTGCAGGTCTCCATCACCAGAGCCAATTTACAACAATGAAGGAAAGAGGCTAAACACCAGGGAGTACCGCACTCGGAAGAAGCTGGAGGATGACCGCCACAATTGCATTACGAGGATGATGAGCATCAATGCTGATTATAAACCACCTGCAGATTACAAGTGAGCAACCGTGCTGTCTTTTATTATAATTTAATGCACTATATAATAGGTTAATTTTGATGAGCATCAGAGCTGATTATAAGCCACCTGGGGAATACAAGTGCAGCTGTACCTTCATATCTTTATACAATGTAATGCACTATAATGGGCTAATTTTTATTGACACAGTATTGTTGGGAGCAAAATCTTCAGTACAGTAATAAAGTGTAATTCTTTTTTTAACACACTAGCCATCTCCCACTGAGGTAGGATGACCTGAAAAGGAAACACTTTCACTTACTATCATTTACACTATCACTTTCTTGCCACAAGCATGTAAATATGACAGTTCAGATGTCCCTCCAAACAGCAAATATATCTAATCCTCCTTTAGAGTGCAGGCACTGTACTTCCCACCACCAGGAATCAAGTCCGGCTATCGGGTTTCCCTGAATCCCTTCACAAAATGTTACCTTGCTTATGCTCCAACAGCTCGTTAGGTCCCAAAAGCCCTTTGCCTCCACTTCTAAGACTCACACTTACCTACTAGATGTTCAAGCCCCTTGTGCACAAAACCTCATTTACTCCCTTTCTAGGGGCAACCCCTACCTGCCTTCCCTCCACTGCAGATTTATACACGCTCCAAATTATCCTATTTTGCTCTGTCCTCTCTAAATATCCAAACTGCTTCAGCAACCCCTCCTCAGTCCTCTGGATAATACTTTTAGTAACCCCACACCTAATCTCCAAGCTACAGAATCCCTGCAAAATATTTACACCACACATACACCACACATTGCCCTCAAACACAACATCTCCACTGTCTCCAGCCTCCTTGCTGCAACATTCCCACCCTATGCTTCACACACATACAAGAGTGTTGGTACCATTATACTCTCATACATTTCCCTTTTTGCCTCCATGGATTGTTCTTTGTCTCTATAGATGCCTCAGTGCACCACCTACCATTTTCCCTCAATTCTATGGTTCACCTTGTCTTTCATAGACCCAACACGTCCACATCCAAATATTTAAATGCATTCACCTCCTCCATCTTCCAGTCTGATACCTTTTACGTAGAATGAAAGGGGGTAAAGCAGCTGGAACTGACGGGATCATGACAGAAATGTTACAAGCAGGGGGGATATAATGTTGGAGTGGTTGGTATTTTTGTTTAATAAATGTATGAGAGTATAGTTTTACCAACGCTCTTATATGGGTGTGAAGCGTGGGTGATGAATGTTGCAGCGAGGAGAAGGCTGGAGGCAGTGGAGATGTCATGTCTGAGGGCAATGTGTGGTGTGAATATAATGCAGAGAATTCGTAGTTTGGAAGTTAGGAGGAGGTGCGGGATTACCAAAACTGTTGTCCAGAGGGCTGAGGAAGGGTTGTTGAGGTGGTTCGGACATGTAGAGAGAATGGAGCGAAACAGAATGACTTCAAGAGTGTATCAGTCTGTAGTGGAAGGAAGGCGGGGTAGGGGTCGGCCTAGGAAGGGTTGGAGGGAGGGGGTAAAGGAGGTTTTGTGTGCGAGGGGCTTGGACTTCCAGCAGGCATGCGTGAGCGTGTTTGATAGGAGTGAATGGAGACAAATGGTTTTTAATACTTGACGTGCTGTTGGAGTGTGAGCAAAGTAACATTTATGAAGGGATTCAGGGAAACCGGCAGGCCGGACTTGAGTCCTGGAGATGGGAAGTACAGTGCCTGCACTCTGAAGGAGGGGTGTTAATGTTGCAGTTTAAAAACTGTAGTGTAAAGCACCCTTCTGGCAAGACAGTGATGGAGTGAATGATGGTGAAAGTTTTTCTTTTTCGGGCCACCCTGCCTTGGTGGGAATCGGCCGGTGTGATAATAAAAAAAAAAATAAATGTATGAAAGAGGGGAAGGTACCTAGGGATTGGCAGAGAGCATGTATAATTCCTTTATATAAAGGGAAGGGAGACAAAAGAGATTGTAAAAATTATAGAGGATAAAAATTATAGAGGATAAATTTACTGAGTATACCAGGAAAAGTGTATGGTAGGGTTATTACTGAAAGAATTAGAAGCAAGACATAATGTAGGATTGCGGATGAGCAAGGAGGTTTTAGAGTGGGTAGAGGATGTGTAGATCAAGTGTTTACATTGAAGCATATATGTGAACAGTATTTAGACAAAGGTAGGGAAGTTTTCATTGCATTTATGGATTTAGAAAAGGCATATGATAGTGGATAGAGGAGCACTGTGGTAGATATTGCAAGTATATGGAATAGGTAGTAAGTTACTAAATGCTGTAAAGAGTTTTATGAGGATAGTGAGGCTCAGGTTAGGGTGTGTAGAAGAGAGGGAGACTACTTCCTGGTAAAGGTGGGTCTTAGAAAGGGATGTGTAATGTCACCATGGTTTAATATATTTATAGATGGGGTTGTAAAAGAAGTAAATGCTAGGGTGTTGGGGAGAGGGGTGGGATTAAATTATGGGGAATCAAATACAAAATGGGAATTGACACACTTTTGGCTGATAATACTGTGCTTATGGGAGATTCTAAAGAAAAGTTGCAAAGGTAAGTGGATGAGTTTGGGAGAATGTGTAAAGGTAGAAAGTTGAAAGTGAACATAGAAAAGAGTAAAGTGATAAGGGTATCAAATGATTTAGATAAAGAAAAATTTTATATCAAATTGGATAGGAGTATGGAAGAAGTGAATGCTTTCAGATATTTGGGAGTTGATGTGTCAGCAGATGGATGTATGAAAGATGAGGTTAACCATAGAATTGATGAAGGAAAAAAGGTGAGTGGTGCATTGAGGTATATGTGGAGACAAAATACATTATCTATGGAGGCAAAGAAGGGAATGTATGAAAGTATAGTGGTACCGACACTCTTATATGGGTGTGAAGCAACGAGGAGGCGGTTGGAGGCGGTGGAGATGTCCTGTCTAAGGGCAATGTGTGGTGTAAATATTATGCAGAGAATTCAGAGTGTGGAAATTAGGAGAAGGTGTGGAGTTAATAAAAGTATTAGTCAGAGGGCTGATGAGGGGTTGTCGAGGTCGTTTGGTCATTTAGAGAGAATGGATCGAAGTAGAATGACATGGAGAGCATATAAATCTGTAGGGGAAGGAAGGTGGGATAGGGGTCATCCTCGAAAAGGTTGGAGGGAGGGGGCAAAGGAGGTTTTGTGGGCGAGGGGCTTGGACTTCCAGCAAGCATGCGTGAGCATGTTAGATGGGAGTGAATGGAGACAAATGGTATTTGGGACCTGATGAGCTGTTGTAGTGTGAGCAGGGTAATATTTAGTGAAGGGATTCAGGGAAACCAGTTATTTTTATATAGCCAGACTTGAGTGCTGGAAATGGGAAGTACAATGCCTGCACTTTAAAGGAGGTGTTTGGTATATTGGCAGTTTGGAGAGAGATGTTATATATCTTTATATATGCTTCTAAACTTGTATCTGGGCACCTCTGCAAAAACAGTGATTATGTATGAGTGAGGTGAAAGTGTTGAATGATGATGAAAGTATTTTCTTTTTGGGGATTTTCTTTCCTTTTGGGTCACCCTGCCTCGGTGGGAGACGGCTGACTTGTTAAAAAAAAAAAAAAAACTTTTTATTATTATTATTATTATTATTATTATTATTATTATTATTATTATTATCACACTGGCCGATTCCCACTAAGGCAGGGTTCCCCGAAAAAGAAAAACTTTCACCATCATTCACACCATCACTGTCTTGCCATAAGGGTGCTTTACACTACAGTTTTTAAACTGCAATGTAAACACCCCTCCTTCAGAGTGCAGGCACTGTACTTCCCATCTCCAGGACTCGAGTCCGGCCTGCCGGTTTCCCTGAACCCCTTCATAAATGTTACTTTGCTCACACTCAACAGCATGTCAAGTATTAAAAACCATTCGTCTCCATTCACTCTTATCAAACACGCTCACGCATACCTGCTGGAAGTCCAAGCCCCTCGCACACAAAACCTCCTTTCCCCCCTCCCTCCAACCTTTCCTAGGCCGACCCCTACCCCGCCTTTCTTCCGCTACAGACTGATACACTCTTGAAGTCACTCTGTTTCGCTCCATTCTCTCTACATGTCCGAACCACCTCAACAACCCTTCCTCAGCCCTCTGGACAACAGTTTTGGTAATCCCGCACTTCCTCCTAACTTCCAAACTATGAATTCTCTGCATTATATTCACACCACACATTGCCCTCAGACATGACATCTCCACGGCCTCCAGCCTTCTCCTCGCTGCAACATTCATTACCCATGCTTCACACCCATATAAGAGCGTTGGTAAAACTATACTCTCATACATTCCCCTCTTTGCCTCCAAGGACAAAGTTCTTTGTCTCCGCATACTCCTAAGTGCACCACTCACCCTTTTCCCCTCATCAATTCTATGATTCACCTCATCTTTCTTAGACCCATCCGCTGACACGTCCACTCCCAAATATCTGAATACATTCACCTCTTCCATACTCTCTCCCTCCAATCTGATATCCAATCTTTCATCACCTAATATTTTTGTTATCCTCATAACCTTACTCTTTCCTGTATTCACTTTTAATTTTCTTCTTTTGCACACCCTACCAAATTCATCCACCAATCTCTGCAACTTCTCTTCAGAATCTCCCAAGAGCACAGTGTCATCAGCAAAGAGCAACTGTGACAACTCCCACTTTGTGTGATTCTTTATCTTTTAACTCCATGCCTCTTGTCAAGACCCTCGCATTTACTTCTCTTACAACCCCATCTATAAATATATTAAACAACCATGGTGACATCACACATCCTTGTCTAAGGCCTACTTTTACTGGGAAATAATTTCCCTCTTTCCTACATACTCTAACTTGAGCCTCACTATCCTCGTGAAAACTCTTCACTGCTTTCAGTAACCTACCTCCTACACCATCACCTGCAGCATCTGCCACATTGCCCCCCTATCCACCCAGTCATACGCCTTTTCCAAATCCATAAATGCCACAAAGACCTCTTTAGCCTTATCTAAATACTGTTCACTTATATGTTTCACTGTAAACACCTGGTCCACACACCCCCTACCTTTCCTAAAGCCTCCTTGTTCATCTGCTATCCTATTCTCCATCTTACTCTTAATTCTTTCAATAATAACTCTACCATACACTTTACACTCAACAGACTTATCCCCCTATAATTTTTGCACTCTCTTTTGTCCCCTTTGCCTTTATACAAAGGAACTATGCATGCTCTCTGCCAATCCCTAGGTACCTTACCCTCTTCCATACATTTATTAAATAATTGCACCAACCACTCCAAAACTATATCCCCACCTGCTTTTAACATTTCTATCTTTATCCCATCAATCCCGGCTGCCTTTCCCCCTTTCATTGTTCCTACTGCCTCACGAACTTCCCCCACACTCACAACTGGCTCTTCCTCACTCCTACAAGATGTTATTCCTCCTTGCCATATATTGTATGGTATATATTTAAGATAAATTGCACCTAGTGTAGCTATTGCTATATTGAGGAGTATTGTATTCAGTAGATGTTAGTAGTGAAAGTACAATTTCAGGATTATGTAATTTTGATGCTCATTTAAATCCATTGTAGGAAATGTGTTATTTCTGTGGGCAGATATATAACATGGAAAGCAAGACATTTTGATTACCCTCTGCCATTTACCAGATTCTAAAATTTTTCACTTATTTTCTAGACCACCAGTAGTGAAGGTTTCCGATAAAGTGATGATTCCACAAGAAGAGCACCCGGACATCAATTTTGTGGGACTTTTGATTGGCCCTCGTGGAAACACACTGAAAGCCATGGAGAAGGACACAGGTGCAAAAATAATAATTCGAGGCAAAGGATCTGTAAAGGAAGGCAAGGTTAGTGAATGATTAATGGAGTGGAAGTGTATAAGAAACTCCTTTTATACCTTATTCAAATTACCCTTCTCACTTTTTTTTTTTTTTTTAAGCCATCTCCCACTGAGGGAGGGTGACCCAGAAAGAAAGAAAATCCCCAAAAAGAAAATACTTTCATCATCATTCAACACTTTCACCTCACTCACACATAATCACTGTTTTTGCAATTAGATACTTGTAGCCACAGAAGCAGAAGTTTACTTGTGATGGTCTGCCTTTAATATCATTTTAGAAGTTTTATAAATTTCCTATGATTAACACTTCCTGCACTTCAATGTCCTCTTAACCTTTTGTCTTCCAAGATGTTGGGTAAATTTTCTAGACTTATTTTGGGGAAAAAATGGTGCCTTCAGTACCATAAAATATGGTACATGCGTTTCTTAAAATTTAATTTATATGATCTTGTGACAATTTACTCGATTAATAACTCCTAGATTCCTTTGTATGATACTCCCAGAAAAAAACCACGAAGTGGGTGTGGTTTGAAGCCATAGCAAGTGAGTCTTAAAACTCCAGGCCAGTATGTAAGCCACTGGCCTAGTGGCTTACTCATTGGTCTGGAGTTTTACAACTCGCTCGCTATGGTTTCAAATTTCACCTGTTCAGTGGTTTGTTTGCGATCGTGTTATTACGATTTCATAATTTATACTCCCCGAATTTTGCTAAACAACATAAAGTATATTCACATGGTTTGATTTTTGCCTTCTCCCGTTTCCATAACATGGTATTTACCAACATTAAGTTCCATCATCCATCTGTTACTACATTTGTACATTTTATTCGGATTATTTTGTAAAGATTTTACAGTAATTTTGATTGTTTTTTATCTGCAAACAGTTTAATATATTTTCTGTGACATCTTGTAACTCATTTATATACAGGAGAGCCCTGCTTTACAGTGCTTCACTTTACAGTGTTTTGCTACCCATTCTTCATTCAGACTTCCTACAGTAAATATATTCATGACTCACTATATGCTAAGGACAAAAATATTTTAAGATAAGTAATGTGTGTACTATATATGATTTTTTTAGGCCTAACTCTATTACTTAATATATGATAGTGTATACATGTTATCAGGCTTTTCTATGTAATTGAAAGTGAAATAAGCTCTTTCACTTCATAACAATTTTTGCTTTACATGGTAGCTTGGAACCTGACTTGCTGTATAAGCGGGTTATCTGTGTACTGCTGTAAAAGTGAAGCCTAAAAAAAACCATACCCCGGTCGGGATTGAACCCGCGGTCAGAGTCTCTCAAAACTCCAGCCCAGCGTGTCATTACGATTTCGTGAGTCAAGTTAAGTGGGGCATGCCTGTACATATATTCAAAACATTATAGGTGCAAGTACAGATCCTTGTGGCACCACAATGGTAACAGTTTCCCAAGAGGACATTTTCCTTATCATTATTGGCATCTTCCTCTGTCTCATCTGCTAGAATAGTTTGCTTTTTATTCCTCTTATGTTTCAAAGTTTCCAGATTCTTATTAAAAGCCTCCTTCTTAAAATCTAGCTAATATTTCCTTTCATTGTTAGAGAACACTATGAGAGATGTATCACACTGTACCCTAAACCACAACAGGTAGAAATTTTCCTCCTTCCTCTCAGTGGGAGAGGGTGTGTCCACCTTGGTGAGTTAGTCATCGGAAGACTCCATGGAGGCTTTAAACAACATCTGTGCTGTTCATTTCTATCCAAAGCCTAGGATGATAATTTTCAGATAAGGCTGTTTCTGAGTTAACAAAGAAAACTGTATCGTGTCCTCAATTTCTTGACACTAGCCAAAGCACTTAATAGAGAATAATTACTGAATGATTGATCTTAAGCATTTTGAGTGTACTTATAGGCTCCACAGATTCAGTATCATGCAGTTCACTCAAATTACTTTTGAACTTTAAAGGATGCAATAGTACCCTCTACATCAAAGTGTAATTTCTTTTCTTCACTGGAATGTTTACTGGAATGTCTAGGGGAAAAATATGTTACCAAGAGTGAAACCCCTGTGTTAAATTGTGACACAAACCTCCCTCCCTTCTCACTTTGCAGTTACTCTTGCCACATCAGGGTGGATATTGTATTCCAGCTGAGACAACCTTAAAATCTTATGCGCTATGATCGTTGTTTATGTGAAATACTGTGATGAATGGTTTTTGAAAACAGACAAGTTGAAGAATTGAGACACTTATGCAACATATGGGAATCTTTATTGAAGAAACGTTTTGCCATACCGTGGCTTCATCAGTCCAATACAAAGTAGAAATGGGTAAGGAGAGGAGGAGTTTGAGGTAATCAGTCCTTCAGCCTGGAATCGATGTGTTCAGTCCGTCACTCTTTGGCCCTATGCTGTACTTCCTACAAGAATTATGGACTGAACACATCGATTCCAGGCTGAGGGACTGATTACCTCAAACTCCTCCTCTCCTTACCCATTTCTACTTTGTATTGGACTGATGAAGCCACTGTGTGGTGAAACGTTTCTTCAACAAAGATTCCCATATGTTGCATAAGTGTCTCAATTCTTCATGTGAAATACTAAACCTATGCAGATCATTCAGTGTAAAAAGTGGTAGCAAATTCTTCCCTACCTCCCACATTGATTCTCTTATAATCCTACTTTGTCATGTTCCGAGATGCTGGTCTGTACTACGGTTAATTTACACACTAGAAGCAGTACAGGTATACTTATTAATATTTCTACCTGCATAGAAAGAGCTACTGGCAATGTTGAATACCATTCCACATGCCACAAAAAAAGGATAATACTGTATATATTATAATACTTGAATATATTTAGTTGTAGCTACAGTTAGAGTAAGAGGTAGATGGGACAAGGAAAATGGCAAGTCACAATTAAGAAAGTGAGATAGCCAGAAAATAGGTCAGTAGAAGAAAATGCCAGAAGATAAGTTAGGCGAAGAGACTATTAGAAGACAGACCAGAAATAGCTTCGGATGTTCCTGGTGTCTTTTTTTTTTTTTTCAAAAATTTATTTAAGTAAGAGAGAGGAGAAAGTGTGTAAATTAAGGGAGGAAGTAGTTCGGGTGAGATATAAGCAACTATTGGCAGAAAGATGGGCTAGTGCAAGTATGAGTAGTGGGGGCTTGAAGAGGGTTGGAATAGTTTTAAAAATGCAGTATTAGAATGTGGGGCAGAAGTTGTGGCTATAGGAGGGTGGATGCAGGAGGAGAAAGGAGTGATTGGTGAAATGATGAAGTAAAGGGTGTGATAAGAGAGAAAAGGGTAGCTTATGAGAGGTTTTTACAAAGCAGAAGTGTTATAAGAAGAGCAGAGTATATGGAGAGTAAAAGAAAGGTGAAGAGAGTAGTGAGAGTATAAAAGGGGAGCAGATGATAGAGTGGGAGAGGCACTGTCAAGAAATTTTGATGAAAATAAGAAAAAAAATTTGGAGTGAGATAAACAAGTTCAGAAAGCCTAGGGAATGAAATTCATGCACTGGCCAGGGAGGTATACCATCTTTTAGGAGTGAAGAAGAGCAGGATGTGAGTGTGGGAGGAGGTTCATGAGGCATTACGTAGAATGAAAGAGGGTAAAGCAGCTGGAACTGACAGGATCATGACAGAAATGTTAAAAGCAGGGGGGGATATAGTGTTGGAGTGGTTGGTATTTTTGTTTAATAAAGAATAAGAAGAAAATTGTCAAAGTGGGAAGTCTGAATGTGCATGGATGTTGTGCAAATGATAGAGAGATGATTGTGGATGTTATAAATGAGAAGAAGCTGGATGTCCTGGCTTTAAGTGAAACAAAGCTGAAGGGGGTGGGAGAGTTTCAATGGAGAGGAATAAATGAGATTAGGTTAGGGGTTTCAAATAGAGTTAGAGCTAAAGAAGGAGTAGCAATAATGTTGAAGGATAAGCTATGGCAGGAAAAGAGGGACTACAAATGTATAAATTCAAGGATTATGTGGAGTAAAATAAAGATTGGATGTGAAAAGTGGGTTATAGTAAGCATGTATGCACCTGGAGAAGAGAGAAGTGTAGAGGAGAGAGAGAGAGATTCTGGGAAATATTGAGTGAATGCGTGGGGAGTTTTGAATCAAGTGTGAGAGTAATGGTGGTTGGGGATTTCAATGCTAAAGTGGGTACAAATGTTATGGAGGGAGTAGTAGGTAAATTTGGGGTGCCAGGGTTAAATGTAAATGGGGAGCCTTTAGTTGAGCTATGTGTAGAAAGAAATTTGGTAATAAGTAATACATATTTTATGAAAGAGGATAAATAAATATACAAGGTATGATGTAGCACGTAATGAAAGTAGTTTGTTAGATTATGTATTGGTGGATAAAAGGTTGATGGGTAGGCTCCAGGATGTACATGTTTATAGAGGGGCAACTGATATATCGGATCATTATTTAGTTGTAGCTACAGTTAGAGTAAGAGGTAGATGGGAAAAGAGGAAGGTGGCAACAACAAGTAAGAGGGAGGTGAAAGTGTATAAACTAAGGGAGGAGGAAGTTCGGGCGAGATATAAGCGACTATTGGCAGAAAGGTGGGCTAGTGCAAAGATGAGTAGTGGGGGGGGGGGGGGGGTTGAAGAGGGTTGGAATAGTTTTAAAAATGCAGTATTAGAATGTGGGGCAGAGTTTGTGTGGTATAGGAGGGTGGGGGCAGAAGGAAAGAGGAGTGATTGGTGGAATGATGAAGTAAAGGGTGTGTAAAAGAGAAAAAGGTAGCTTACGAGAGGTTTTTACAAAGCATAAGTGTTATAAGAAGAGCAGAGTATATGGAGAGTAAAAGAAAGGTGAAGAGAGTGGTGAGAGAGTGCAAAAGGGGAGGCAGATGAAAGAGTGGGAGAGGCACTGTCAAGAAATTTTGATGAAAATAAGAAAAAATTTTGGAGTGAGTTAAACAAGTTAAGAAAGCCTAGGGAAAGTATGGATTTGTCAGTTAAAAACAGAGTAGGGGAGTTAGTAGATGGGGAGAGGGAGGTATTAGGTAGATGGCGAGAATATTTTGAGGAACTTTTAAATGTTGAGGAAGAAAGGGAGGCGGTAATTTCATGCACTGGCCAGGGAGGTATACCATCTTTTAGGAGTGAAGAAGAGCAGAATGTAAGTGTGGTGGAGGTACGTGAGGCATTACGTAGAATGAAAGGGGGTAAAGCAGCTGGAACTGATGGGATCATGACAGAAATGTTAAAAGCAGGGGGGGATATAGTGTTGGAGTGGTTGGTACTTTTATTTAATAAATGTATGAAAGAGGGGAAGGTACCTAGGGATTGGCGGAGAGCATGTATAGTCCCTTTATTTAAAGGGAAAGGGGACAAAAGAGATTGTAAAAATTATAGAGGAATAAGTTTACTGAGTATACCAGGAAAAGTATACGGTAGGGTTATAATTGAAAGAATTAGAGGTAAGACAGAATGTAGGATTGCAGATGAGCAGGGAGGCTTCAGAGTGGGTAGGGGATGTGTAGATCAAGTGTTTACATTGAAGCATATATGTGAACAGTATTTAGATAAAGGTAGGGAAGTTTTTATTGCATTTATGGATTTAGAAAAGGCATATGATAGAGTGGATAGAGGAGCAATGTGGCAGATGTTGCAAGTATATGGAATAGGTGGTAAGTTACTAAATGCTGTAAAGAGCTTTTATGAGGGTAGTGAGGCTCAGGTTAGGGTGTGTAGAAGAGAGGGAGAATACTTCCCGGTAAAAGTAGGTCTTAGACAGGGATGTGTAATGTCACCATGGTTGTTTAATATATTTATAGATGGGGTTGTAAAAGAAGTAAATGCTAGGGTGTTCGGGAGAGGGGTGGGATTAAATTATGGGGAATCAAATTCAAAATGGAAATTGACACAGTTACTTTTTGCTGATGATACTGTGCTTATGGGAGATTCTAAAGAAAAATTGCAAAGGTTAGTAGATGAGTTTGAGAATGTGTGTAAAGGTAAAAAGTTGAAAGTGAACATAGAAAAGAGTAAGGTGATGAGGGTATCAAATGATTTAGATAAAGAAAAATTGGATATCAAATTGGGGGAGGAGGAGTATGGAAGAAGTGAATGTTTTCAGATACTTGGGGGTTGACGTGTCGGCAGATGGATTTATGAAGGATGAGGTTAATCATAGAATTGATGAGGGAAAAAAGGCGAGTGGTGCGTTGAGGTATATGTGGAGACAAAAAACGTTATCTATGGAGGGAAAGAAGGGGAATGTATGAAAGTATAGTAGTACCAACACTCTTATATGGATGTGAAGCTTGGGTGGTAATTGCAGCAGCGAGGAGACGGATGGAGGCAGTGGAGATGTCCTGTCTAAGGGCAATGTGTGGTGTAAATATTATGCAGAAAATTTGGAGTGTGGAAATTAGGAGAAGGTGTGGAGTTAATAAAAGCATTAGTCAGAGGGCAGAAGAGGGGTCGTTGATCTGGTTTGGTCATTTAGAGAGAATGGATCAAAGTAGAATGACATGGAAAGCATATAAATCTTTAGAGGAAGGAAGGAGGGGTAGGGGTCGTCCTCGAAAGGGTTGGAAAGAGGGGGTAAAGGAGGTTTTGTGGGCGAGGGGCTTGGACTTCCAGCAAGCGTGCATGAGCGTGTTAGATAGGAGTGAATGGAGACGAATGATACTTGGGACCTGACGATCTGTTGGAGTGTGAGCAGGGTAATATTTAGTGAAGGGATTCAGGGAAACCGGTTATTTTCATATAGTCGGACTTGAGTCCTGGAAATGGGAAATACAATGCCTGCACTTTAAAGGAGGGGTTTGGGATATTGGCAGTTTGGAGGGGTATGTTGTGTATCTTTATACGTATATGCTTCTAAACTGTTGTATTCTGAGCACCTCTGCAAAAGCAGTGATAATGTGTGAGTGTGGTGAAAGTGTTGAATGATGATGAAAGTATTTTCTTTTTGGGGATTTTCTTTCTTTTTTGGGTCACCCTGCCTCGGTGGGAGACGGCCGACTTGTTGAAAAAAAAAAAAAAAAAAAAAAAAAAGTTTACTGAGTATACCAGGAAAAGTGTATGGTAGGGTTATTACTGAAAGAATTAAGAGGCAAGACAGAATGTAGGATTGCGGATGAGCAAGGAGGTTTTAGAGTGGTAGGGGATGTGTAGATCAAGTGTTTACATTGAAGCATATATGTGAACAGTATTATTAGATAAAGGTAGGGAAGTTTTCATTGCATTTATGGATTTAGAAAAGGCATATTATAGAGTGGATAGGGGAGCAATGTGGCAGCTGTTGTAAGTATATGGAATAGGTAGTAGGTTACTAAATGCTGTAAAGAGTTTCTATGAGGACAGTGAGGCTCAGGTTAGGGTGTGTAGAAGAGAGGGGGTCTTAGACAGGGATGTGTAATGTCACCATGGTTGCTTAATATATTTATAGATGGGGTTATAAAAGAAGTAAATGCTAGGGTGTTGGGGAGAGGGGTGGGATTAAATTATGGGGAATCAAATACAAAATGGGAATTGACACAGTTACTTTTTGCTGATGATACTGTGCTTATGGGAGATTCTATAGAAAAGCTGCAAAGGTTAGTGGATGAGTTTGGGAGAGTGTGTAAAGGTAGAAAGTTGAAAGTGAACATCGAAAAGAGTAAGGTGATGTGGGTATCAAATGATTTAGATAAAGAAATATTTTATATCAAATTGGAGAGGAGTATGGAAGAAGTGAATGATTTCAGATATTTGGGAGTTGATGTGTCAGCAGATGGATATATGAAGGGTGAGGTTAACCATAAAATTGATGAAGGAAAGAAAGTGAGTGGTGCATTGAGGTATATGTGGGGACAAAAAACATTATCTTTGGAGGCAAAGAAGGGAATATATGAAAGTATAGTGGTACCAACACACTTATATGGATGTGAAGCTTGGGTTGTAAATGCTGCAGCAAGGAGGTGAGGGAGATGTTCTGTCTAAGGGCAGTGTGTGGTGTAAATATTCTGCAGAGAATTTGGAGTGTGGAAATTAGGAGAAGGTGTGGAGTTAATAAAAGTATTAGTCAGAGGGCTGAAGAGGGGTTGTTGAGGTGGTTTAGAGAGAATGGATCAAAGTAGAATGACATGTAGAGCATATAAATCTGTAGGGGAAGGAAGGCGGGGTAGGGGTTGTCCTCGAAAATGTTGGGGGGAGGGGGTAAAGGAGGTTTTGTGGGTGAGGGGCTTGGACTTCCAGCAAGCATGCATGAGCGTGTTAGGAGTGAATGGAGGCGAATGGTATTTGGGACCTGACGAGCTGTTGGAGTGTGAGCAGGGTAATATTTAGTGAAGGGATTCAGGGAAACCAGTTATTTTTATATAGCCAGACTTGAGTCCTGGAAATGGGAAGTACAATGCCTGCAATTTAAAGGAGGGGTTTGGGATATTGGCAGTTTGGAGGGATATGTTGTGTATATTTTTACGTACTATATGCTTCTAAACTGTTGTGTTCTGGGCATCTCTGTAAAAGCAGTGATTATGTATGAGTGGGGTGAAAGTGTTGAATGATGATGAAAGTATTTTCTTTTTGGGGATTTTCTCTCTTTTTGGGTCACTCTGCCTCGGTGGGAGACGGCCAACTTGTTAAAAAAAAAAAAAAAAAATCTTGACTGTACTCCTAGGATCAAAACTTGGTCTCACTTCTTTAATGTGATTTTCAGGTTGGACGCAAGGATGGTGGACCAATGCCAGGAGAAGATGAGCCTTTGCATGCATATGTTACAGCCAGCAATCCAGAGAGTGTTAAGAAAGCTGTTGACAGAGTGAGTTATTCTTTTTTTTTTGTGTGTGTGTGTGTGTTTGTTCATTGACAGTGCCTTGAGACTTTTATTTACCTGTGATACACCTGCAACTGATTTTGAGCATTTCTGCCCTTGCAGTTTGACCTTTGCCTATTTAACCCTTAAACGGTCCAAAGAGATCGACGTTCAAATTCGTAGTGCTACAAAAGTAGATCTACTTTTTTTTACATATTTTCAAATGTAACAAAAAAAAAATGTAGATAAAAGTTTTTTTACACGATTTCAAATGTAAAACAAAAAAGATCTACATTTTTTTACATACTTTCAGATGTTGAAAAAATGTATATATATGTTTGGACCATTTAAGGGTTAACCAGATATTGCTGTTAGTTTCTTGCTAGGCCACATAAACATCAGTCTGGTTGATTTGACCCTTGACAAAGATGTCATGTCCAGTCTCTTTTTGGAGACTTCTGGAATTGTTCCAGCAGTTTCTGATATCTTGGACCTTGGATATTGATAGTATTCTCGTACTGTGCTCGGGTATCCTTGCTTTTCACTCTGTTTCAGTGTTGCATTAATGCAGTAACTTTATCATTGCATTATTGAATTGATGGAATTGTTCTGATGCATTGAGGATTAACCCTTTGACTGTTTTGGTCGTATGTATACGTCTTACGAGCCACCATTTTTGACATATATATACTCACAAATTCTAGCGGCTTCAAATCAAGCAGGAGAAAGCTGGTAGGCCCACATGCGAGAGAATGGGTCTGTGTGGTCAGTGTGCACCATATAAGAAAATCCTGCAGCATGCAGTGCATATTGAGAAAAAAAACTGACTGTTTTTTTTTTTTTTAATTAAAATACCGACTTGGTGGTCTATTTTCGTATAGTATTTATGGTTGTATCCTCGTTTTCTTGGTCTCATTTGATAGAATGGTAAACATATTATAGAGATAGAAGCGATCTTGATTATTTTTACTATGAAAAGAACCTTGAAATGGAACTCAAAGTGCGGGAAATGTTTGATTTTTGCCGATGTTCAAAAGTAAACAAATGATGTCATTTTCCAATAAATGTCCAAGTAGCCATTCTAATATGCAGTCATGAATGGGTTGACATTATTTATACAATTATTACAATATTGCAGTAGTCTGTATAACAGTAAATCTTCAATTTTTTTGTTTGAATAAAAATTCAAAATAGAAAGCAAGAGTAATACCAGAGGGGCCTGGAGACATGACTGATGAACAAAGAAAATGTTATTTTAGAGCCAGGAATGTCTGTATTGTTCATTCTGGACCCTATTTTGAAATCATAATTTTTAATATTCATGAAATTGGCTAAATTGCAAATTTTTGACCACGTCATTGGGTAGTTGAAATCAGTAAATGGGCAGTTTCTTGTACTCAATCGATAGAAAAAATGGAGTTCTAAAAAATAGCAATGAGTTTGGTTGACCATAACAATGGAATTAGCCTGAAAATAGGGCTCAAAGTGGGCGAAATCGCCTATTCGTAAATATCACCAAGGTTGCTAACTTCGCGAGAGCGTAATTCCATCAGTTTTCCATCAAATTTCTTTCTTTTGTTGTCATTACAACCGGGAAAAGATTCTATATCATTTCATAAGAATTTTTTTTTTTGGGGGGGGGGGGGGGGGATTTTGTGACACCAGGAGACACCTCAGAATTTGGGGTTGCGACAGTCAAGGGGTTAAAGATGAATGTGCTTTTTTCCTTTCCCACCATAGTACTCCTCCATTGTTCAGCTCAACATAAGAACAAGAATGGAGGAGCACTGCAGCAGGCCTACTGGCCCATGCTAGGCAGGCCTTTCTCAATTCCAACCTTTTTGCCCATAATTTGTCCGAGCTGTTTTTAATGCTACCTGTGGTTTTAGCTTCAGTGACCCTTTTTGGCAATTTGTTCCATTCATCAACAACTCTATTGCTGAACTAGTATTTTCCTATCTCATTTTTATATAAAAATTGATCCAGTTTGAATGAGGGAAGACACTGAAGTACGCAGGCCGACATTAAAGAACTCAAATTAATGTATTAAAACTGGATTAGTATAGATTTGAAAAGGATATAAAGAAATTAGTACCAGTTTGGCAATAGATTTGTCAGTTTTACAGTATAACATATTTAAAAATGAGTCAGATAAGTTGTCTTTTTAAATGTGTGACCTGCATTTTTTTCAGTCTTAAAGCCCTTCCATAAACTTCCTCATTTGGAATGAATGGTCTGTTGCTGTTTCATGTCCCAAATATACTCGTGTAATTGATTTAATTCTTTCGCATCCAGATAAAGGAAATAATTCGGCAAGGTGTTGAGGTGCCAGAAGGTCAAAATGACTTGAGAAGGATGCAGCTTAGAGAGCTTGCACTTCTAAATGGCACTCTGCGTGAGAATGATGGACCAAGATGCTCCAATTGTGGATCTAATGCTCATAAATCATGGCAGGTAAGGTTTTAAAAGTACTCTTACTATACATCGAAGAAAAGTTAGAAAGTATTGTAACCCCTAACCCTTTCACTGGCTTTGCTGTACTACTACAGCTTTGAGATAAGTGTTGTGAACACTCACGTAGGCTGGTTAGTACATATAGTTATAACGGAATATATGGGAAGCACCAGGCCCGCCCTGCCTCTCTGCTCTCTATCTTAAGACTGACTCACGAATTGGGTCCTAGGGGTGAGCGGTGTTCAAAAACTGCTATGGTCAGCTGTAACATCAGTGAATAACAGCGATTCACACAGACGGTTGGTAGTGAGTCATACTACTGGTAACTGGTTACTGGTACTACTGGGAACTGATACTACCGAGACGTGCTCAGCTCAATCAGATGAGCTGTGAGTGGTAAATTTGAGCCTAGATATGGGAAAATAGCTTTATGTGGTAAGTGTGCACCATACAAAAAAAATATTGCCGCATGCAGTGCATAATGATTAAAAAAAAAAAATGCGACTTTTTGGTTTACAACAGCGACTTTGCGATGTATTTTCTTATGGGTTTTTATGGTTGCATTCTTGGTTTCTTGGTTTCACTTCATAGAATGGAAGATATATTACAGAAATAGAGATGATTTTGATTGGTTTCAGGACTGAAAATAGCTTGAAATTGAGCTTAAAGTAGCAGAAATGTTTGATTTTTGCCGATATTCAAGAGTAAACAAATCACATCACTCGTCCAATACACATTCAACTAGTGGGTCTAATATGCGTTCATGAAAGCGCTGATAGTATTTATACTATTATTACAATATTGCATAACAGTAAATCTTCTATTTTTGTGTGAATAAAAATTCTTTGTGAAAAAAAATAAAAGTGGAATTCATATGTAAAGCCTGGGAATGTAACTAATGAACAGAGGAAATGTTATTTTAGTGCCAGGAATGCCTGCATTGTTTATTCTGGACCCTGAAAATTTTGAAATTTGTATGAAATTGGCTAAATTACCAATTTCTGATCACTATTGGGTACTTGAAGTAGTTGATTGAGTGGTTTTTTGTGCTTAGGTGATAGTTGATAAAATAGTGAACATACTAGTGAAATAGCTAAGAATTTGATCTGCTGGAACAGTGTAATTAGCCTAAAATAGGACTTGGCAAAATCACCAGTGTGTAAATATTGCCGACATAGCAAAATTCACGAAAGCGTAATTTCATAAACTTTCCATCAAATTTCATGCTTTTTGTTTTATAACCTTCAGAAAAAGATTCTCTACCATTTCATAGGAAAAAGTAATTTATTTTTTTAATTCTTGGAAGCTGTGGACAAGTTTCAGATAAGGGGTCTGGACAGTGAATGGGTTAAAATGTGTCCAACATCCTTGTACGCAGCTGTCGACTGTGTGTCCAGCATACTAGTATGTACAGTTTTTTTTTGTACCTTCAAATCTGCCACCTGCCAATATTTTTTACTACGTCACAACTCTCTGGGTCTTTTACAATCTCTTCATTTTTTCAACACAGTAGACGTATCCCACTGAGGCAGGGTGACCCAAAAAGAGAAATGAAAGTTTTTCTTCTTAAATTTAGTAATTTATATAGGAAAAGGGGTTACTAGCCCCTTACTTGCAGCAATTTAGTTGCCTCTTATGACATGCATGGCTTACAGAGGAAGAATTCTGTTCCACTTTCCCATGGACAACTTCTTCATACCCCTGAAAAAACTCTTAATGCCAGGAGGGTCTACACAATGCATCATGGTTAATTAAACAAGTGATTTCTGTGTCTTTGACACACTAGTACACCTAGCTAGCATAGGTAATCAATGAAATCCGTTGTTCCACCACCAGCTTCCATCAGCAAACAGGTGCGTAAATGGTATAAAATGACTTGTTCATTCCAAATTAAATACAGTTTCAGGATACTAACAATAGAATTCAGCCACAAAACACATTAAGTAGATTTAACCCACTAAAGTCAGTGTGACTTATTTCCTTGTTTTGATGAGTGTTACGCCTTGAAACAATTATAATATCATAGGACATTGTTGTAAATGTTTTACAGTAGTCTGGAAAGCTCACAGATGTTATGGACATAAAATGTATATGTAATTCAAGATCTTCCCTCAATTTTTTTTTTTTAAACACTGGTCATCTTCCACTGAGGTAGGGTGACCCAAAAAAAGAACACTTTCACCATTATTCTCTGCTGTCTTGCCAGAAGGGCAGGCACTTCAGTTTAGATGCCCCTCCGAGCTGCAAATATCCCCATCCCTCATTCAGAGTGCAGGCCCTGTTCTTCCCACCTCTAGGACATGCTCACACTCCAATAACTCATCATGTCTCAAAAACTGTGTGCCTCCACTCCTGTCTGACACACACACACGCACACGCACACGCACACGCACACGCACACACACACACACACACACACACACACACACACACACACACACACACACACACACACACACACGTGCGTACGTACGTACGTCTGCTTGATGTCCAAGTACTCTTGCACACAAAACCTAGGATAACCCAGTATAGTCAAGCATTGTGACTTATCTCCATGGTTTGAGGAGTATTGCACCTTGAAACTGAAATAATAATTCTTGTACACAATATTAGAAAACCAAAATAGTTAATTATTTCACTAATATATACTGTATTTTCCAAGTGGAGCAATGTCTGGCTAAGCATTTCCCCCATGTTTGAAGTACTAAAATTCTTTGAAACATACCTAATATCATAAGAAACTAGTGAACATGTTAGACAGTTAAAAACATTTAAAAAAACTGAAAAATAATTATAATTTGGTATCGATGAATTATAAAATGTACATACATATCACTGGCGCATTTACACCACTGTTGGTGATTGATAATTTTTCTGCAAACTTCAGCATAATATATTAAGTTTTTATTAGATTCCACTTATCTTAGTCTTATTCGATTCAGAAAAATGTGTGCTTTCATTCAATATTTTTTTTTTTTTGCCGATAGGAATTTCTTTTCAGGTATGCCACAGTTTAGGGGTTAAGGCTTATACATTTCCACTAAAGTAAAAAAAAAAAAATTTGTAAATAATGTTGATTTCCTGAATTATTGCTTTTGTTTAATTAACTTTTTGGTCAAACTAGGCTCATACTACTATTTTACTTTTCAGTGCCCAGACAAGCCAAATGTAACAAACAACGTAGTGTGCACAAGTTGTGGTGGAACAGGTCATATTGCCAAAGATTGTCGGCAGCGACGTGGTCCTGGTGCTCCTGCATCTGTTGATAGGCAAAAGATAGATGAAGAATATATGTCTCTTATGGCAGAATTGGGTGAAGGTCCTCCGCCTCCTCAAAATAATGATCGAAATAGTAATCGACAGACAGCCACTCCAACCACCAGGAGTCTCTTTGATCGTCCACAAGGGGCTCCACGTCCTCTAATGGGCCCACCACCTCGTTCGGAACCCCAGACAAATGTGAATAATCAGTTCAGCAGCAGTAATCCAAACCAGGGAGGAATGAATCAACAGAATTCTTGGAATTCAAATCAGATGGGAGGACAAGGTGGTCCACGCCCCTTGTTGGCAAATAATAGTAATGGTCCTCCTAATCTGAATCATCCACCTCCAGGAATGCCATGGCAACAGCAACAGCAGCAACAGCAACAACAACAGTCACAGCAACAACAGGGCACAAACAGCTTCCAGGGTGTACCACCCCCAAATTTGCTGCAGGCACCACCACCACCACCACCACCCACAACACAGAATGGACAGCAGCAGCAACAGCAGCCAGGTTGGATGGGTCAGGCTCCACCTGGCCCACCAGGTGGTCCGCAGGGTCCTCAAGGCCCAGGAAATCATGGTGGCCCCCATGGTGGGCCACCAAATGGTCCACATGGACCTCATGGAGGCCCTCATGGTGGGCCTCATGGAGGACCACATGGAGGGCCACATGGAGGTCCTCATGGAGGTCCTCATGGAGGTCCTCATGGAGGCCCTCATGGTGGGCCACATGGTGGACCTCATGGAGGACCACCACATGGTCCCCCTCCACAAATGAATCACTGGCAAGGACCTCCTCCAGGTCCTCACCATGGGCCTCCTGGAATGGGTTGTCCTCCTCCTGGACCAGTACCACCACCCCGCCCAGTGGGACCACCCCCAGGGTGGGGTTGGAATGGTCCACCACAGCCAGTTGGCCCACCTCCTCCCCCCCCTCCTGGAGGCCCTGGAGGTCCTGGTGGACCTGGGGGACCAGGGGGACCTGGGGGCCCTGGACCCAGGGGACCAGGTGGTGTCGATTTGGGAGCCCTCCTCTCAGCCCCACCACCACCACCTCCATCGTAGATACTTTCCTACAGCAGTACAAATGATCCCCTGCCACTGATTAATGCCTGCTCAAGGAATCAAATTCTTTGTAGCTGTACAGACTTATGCATATATGTACAAGTATTTAAAAGGATGGACAGTGGCTCCTCACTTTCAACTTCATTCCATAATGAGGTCTATTACTGGGAGTACGGAACATTTAATGGTGTCTTAGTGGATGTTCATATGGTAGGATGACTAATGTTAAGACTTTTTTATTGTACAAATCTTTTTATGAATGAATATTAACCCCTCAGATTATTATTGTTCATGTAAAGTGCTGTGCCCTAGTTAGGTCATTCAAGCCTAATTAAATTTATGATTATTTAGAATTTTCATGCTAGAATAGTAAATCATCTGTCCAGGGGAAAATATTTTTGGTACTGTGTGCTATGTCTCATTGAAGTGTTGTAGTTTGATGATGAACTCGTATGACCTATCTTAAAATACAAAACTGCATAAGGCACTTGTTTTGGATGGAATGCTGGATGCATAGGTACTACAGGTTGGTAATCTTCAAAAATAATCCATACAGATTGTTTTGCAGTGTAGTGATGCTTATCCTGTTTGAAGTTATGCTCTAAGAAAAATTAATGAAAGGTTGAGCATTTCTTGCTGTAAATTTAAGGTGCAATGGACATTTTTTAAGTGACTAGGTGGAAAATTATATTTCATGAGATGTCAAAACTAAGTAAGGGAAGAAAAATTTATGATTGTATGAAATATTTTTTTTCAATTGTATTAATATACAGTTGACCCTTGAACAACACTGGGGTTAGGGGCACTGACCTCCTGCAGTCAAAAATCTGCATATAATTTTTGACTGCACAAAAACTTAACTACTAATGGTCTACTGTTGACTGGAGGCCTTACCGATAACATAAATAGTCAATTAGTACATATTTTATATGTTGTGTGTAATATATACTGTATTCTTAAAATAAGGTAAGCTGGAGAAAAGAATAATGTTAAGAAAATCATAATTAAGAGAAAATACATTTACAATACTGAATTTATTGATATCTTAAGTTTACATAATCTGTTTACATGATGAATTGTCTTGTCTGTCAGTACATATATCATTATTGTCTTAATGATACAAAACACTGTATACATATTGCTAGACAAAAATGAAAAGATAATTTGAAAAAGAAATTCATATTTATTTATAATTTAATATTGCATCTTTATATATGTTGACACTTCTCTCAACTGCGAGTGGAACATGTATGAGCTGTAATAATATAATACAGCCTCTCCTCGCTTAGCAATGTACTCGTTTACCGATGACTCAGAGTCACGACGGGCTCTCAGACCAGTATGCATACCTAAATAATGTATGTATATTAGAGCTGATTTCCTCTATTCTGTGGCTTAGCACTTCTTTTTGATTATAATAATAATCCTCTATTCTGTTTATTACAGTATACAGTACACTATTGTATAAACATTTAAAAATGTTATGAATGGTGTAAAGGTGACATTAAAACAATATCAAGATGGTTGACACAAACCCACTACGATTATAGTGTGTAAGTCCGACGACTCGGACTTACAACGGGCTTTCTGACCAGTATGCATACCTAAATTATGTATATTAGAGCTGATTCTCTATTCTGTTTATTACAATATACAGTACACTATTGTATAAAAATTTAAAAATATACTCGAAAAATTATAAATGGTGCAAAGGTCTCAGGAATGGAACTCCGTTGTTAAGTGAGGAGAGGTTGTATTTTATTTTTTTATTAACATGCTGACTGTTTCCCATTGAGGCAGGGTGACCCAAATAAGAAGAAACACTTTCATCATTGTTTATTCCATCACTGTCTTTCCAGAGGTGTGCCTACACTAGAGTTAAAAAAAAAAGACTGCAACATATCAACACCCCTCCTTCAGAGTGAAGGCACTGTACTTCCCACGTTCAGGACTCAAGTCCAGTTTGCCAGTTTCCATGAATCTCTCTATAAATGTTATTTTGCTCACACTCCAACAGCATGTCGAAGTCATAAAACCATTTGTCTCCATTCACTCTTATCTAACACTGGTTTAGCGCTTCTTTTTTATTATAATAATAATCTAACACGCACACGTGCTGGAAGTCTAAGCCCCTCGCATACAAAACCTGCTTTACCCCCTACTGTGGCTTCCTTCCACTGCAGATTTGTATGCTCTCCAAATCATTCTATTTCATTCTGGCCTCTGAATGTTTGAACCACCTCAACAACCCCTCAGCCCTCTGGATAACACTTAGTAACCCTGCACCACCCCCTAATTTCCAAACTACAGATTCTCATTATATTCAAACTGCATTTTGCCCTCAGATACATTATTATATTGACCCTTGTGGGTTTAGCATTTAATTATGATTATAATTATATTCAGTGGGGAAGTGGAAAAGAAGTATTCCTCTGTAAACTGTGTGTGTTGTAAGAGGTGGCTAAAATGCTGGGAGCAAGGGGCTAGTAACCCCCTTTTGTATAAATTACTAAATTTAAAAAGAACTTTAATTTTTCTTTTTAGGTCACCCTGCCTTGGTGGGATAAGACCAGTTCCTTTTAAAAAAATATAATGTGATCCTTTATTGACAACATTTCCGAAACGTTGTCAATAAAGGATCACGTTATACTGCTTAAGTGTTCGTATTTCCATTGTGTCGGTATTTTATACCATTTATTTAAAAAAAAAAAAAAAATTGCATCATTGTGTTTACCTTTCTCAACTGTGACTGGAACATGTACGATCAGTAATAATAAATTATTACGTATATTATATGTATTATATTGAAAAAATCCGTGTATAAATGGATCCATGCAGTTCAAATCCATGTTGTTGTTGGGTCAACTGTAGTAAAAAAAAATATAAAATATTTTAAGTTACAATGTAAATAAAGCACTGACAAAGATTACTGTGTTTGATTAAAACTTTAAATTTTCTCATGGTTCTTTTCAATTTGGATAATGAATTAGTATTAATGAAAAATGATTTAACTCTGTAGGGTAATTTATTACTACAAAGAATGCTTGACCCTATTTATCAAGAACTGGAGTTATGCTTTCCTCTTCATTCAAGGAAGGTGTCCTGATACTGATGGGCTCTATGCAGAGAATTTTAACTCCCCTCTCAAAGGAGGTTCCTTGATCTAGGGAATTTGATCTGTGCTCCAGTTCCCTGAACCGAGCCTGAATGAATTCCATACCATTCTCCCCAGGCATTGTATAATCCCTAAGGGTTTAGCACTCCCCATAATAACACTAACCAACCTTCTGTTCTGTATGATCCCTATAAGCACCTGTAGGGGCCATGAAGTGCCTGAGGAATGCGAGGCAATTAGGTCTGATACAAGGAAGGGGAGGGTAAGTTCAATTCCTTGGATCAAAAGCCCTTCACTGGCATCAAGGCACCTCTTAAAGGACAGAAAACAGATAAACTTCAGACAACATTTGCCCTCAAGGTGACAGTGCAGGAGGGTAGCCAAGTATAAATTTCTATTAGGGAAAGATGTAGTGCTGTATCCTTGTGGCTTAGCGCTTCTTTTTTATTATAATAATAATAATGTAGTGCTGTATGACCCTCGTGGGTTCAGCACTTCGATTGTACTAAAAATATTAGGGAAAGAATGCACTTTGCATTTCCTCCAGTGTTGTATATTATTTATGGGAGCACAAAATCCATGAGAGGCATACAGCACTTGAGGAAATGGGAAGCAATCAGATTCTATCCAAGGAAAGGGAGATGAGGACCAATTTCTTGGATTATAAAGGACTTTAAGGGGCCATTGCTGTACAACTATGGAAGAGTTTACATTTAAAGCCTATCAACTGCACATGGACATTGCTGTTTTATACATTAACCTGGCACCATCAATCAAGACTACTTTAAAACCTAAAATTGACTAAATAAAAATGTGTGTCCACCATGAGATATACAAGGGTGTATATTTCCTGTACTGAAATACATACCACCTCTTGCCTTATACAGGTCAAACACAACCTGGACTGTGCATGTACCTAAGGACAATATTGCCATGTAGAATGCAATCTGTCGAATGATAGTTTTTGTGAATATCCTTTCAGAAGTGGATGCCTTGATGCCAGTGAAAGGCTATTGAGGCAAGAAATTGTAGCTACCTTTCCCTTCCTTGAATCAAACCCAATTACTTACCACCTTTGTGAGTATACACTACTAAAACTAAATAGTAATAATGTAAAATGTTAACTAACGCTTGCTGAACAGCGGTGTATGACCCTTGTGGGTTTAGCGCATAGTTTTTATTGTAGTAATAATAACACTTTCTGAGGATCAAGGTGAAGATACAAACTGGTGAAGGCATGTGGAAGTTAATTTTTATATTTAATGTGAATCAGCTTAAGTTTGCACTGTGAATACCTACAAGCACTTGATCTGGAAAAACCAAGCACTGTATGACTTGTGGGTTTAGTGCTTAGTTTATGATTATAATAATAATCTGGAGAAAGCTTTTCTCACTGATGAAACAGTAACCACCTGCCCTCCAAGGAAAGATTAAACAAAAAAAGTGTAGATGACTATGAGACTAGTCTACAACTTAAAATCAAACTGGCATAAATGTACATTATAACTTAAAATCTCTTTCTTATGTTATTAAGAAATTACAATTTGTTCAATTAAACTGAGCAGTTTAAAGAAATAAAACAATAATCCTAGAGCACAAAACTGGAGTGCAGAATAAAATTGGTACACAAATCTGCTTAATCCGTTATCATTAGTAGAGCACAGTATCCCGTAATGAAATTCTCATTTCAGACATTCAATAACTTGTCAAGAGTGTACTTCACTTTCAACAGAAAAGTCACAATATTTTCAAAATACACTAAGATTTTTTCCATGAGCTCATTGAAATTCAATTAATTTCCAAACTGAACATGAAGGAAATCCATTAAACCAAAAAAAAAAAACAAAAAAAAAAAAACAATCCCTGTGGTAACTGAAAACAAAAGAAAGCATGTTTGGTTATGCTAAATACCATGGTGTTTATTTGCATGAATCATATACTGCCTCTACATTCAGTGATTTGCACCACCTGCCTACTTCACACATTAATGTTTGGATTAGATACCTAAGGATAAGCCAGAATGACAAGGCTGTAAAGTGATAATCATACCAGATGTCTGTTCATCATAATGCTGATCTGGAGTAGACTCTTTTTCATTATTGGCTGAATCCTCACTGGGATTATGCAAACCAAAATCTGTACACATAGATTCCATGGGTACATCCCCATTAGTTGTTGACTGCCTGGCAGATGCTGCTTCTGCATCAATCACCTCAATCTGTTTTTCCTTTGGATTACAGACTGGAGTTTCTTTTTGGAAGGATGTGCTTGAGGAACCTTCTGAAGGAATACCTCCATCTGATATGGCAAGTTCGAATAAGTCCAGAGAGTCATTGTTCTGACTTCTAGTGTGGCTTGCATTAATTCTCTGTGCATCATTAGTTGATACTGACTGAGTATCATGTAATTCAGGAAGTTTTGGTTCCTGGTGAGGTTCATGCTGCTCCTCATGTACACATTCATTTATGTCTTGAGGCAGATCTTGCTGCGTGTCCTGTGGCATACTTGTGTGGAGAGTCTGGGATAAATATTTTTGTGCTTCAATACCTTGAGCTATTTTCTGTTTCACTTGTTCTTCACCTTGTACACACATGGAGAACATCTCCCTCATGAGGGGATCATGCAGAGTTGACAGTTCCACAGTCAGCATAGCACAGTTTACTGGAAAAGATTAAGTAAGTTTTTATTCAGGCAAAGGTACACATCATACATAGCAGTATATGTGTTGATGGTAATGTTATATACTACTCATATTCTGTAAAAGATGGTAATGTTATATACTACTCATATTCTGTAAAAGATGGTAAATGTTAAATACTGATATTAAGAATAGCCCACTAATTCAACATTAATATTATATTATTAATAATGCATAATACTAAGAGAAGCCTACTTGCTTAACATTATTTTTAAGTTGTAAATTTTGAAAAAAAAAACAAACAGTATCTGAAAGGATACTGTTATGGTTTTTCAGAGTAGTGTAACAACTTACTGAATCAAAAGATGCAGCCAGTGCTACAAACATTAGAAAATTTAAAAAAGTAATATAAATGGCCGAAGACTAAGTTAGTTTATTCAGGTATACACAAATACAGTTACACAGATAATCATAAATAGCAGCATATGTGTAGAGAACCCAGGATAACCCAAAACAGTCACACAGTCATGACAAAAAAGTCTTGACACCACAAGAATGGTTCAGTTCTTGCAGCTACAAATAGTGTGTGATTACACCAGGTAATATATGTACTGACCTCTCTGTTGGTAAAGTTTGTGTTCAGCAATTCTAATTTGTCTGACAGTGTCGTCGAGGCTGTAGAGAGCCTTCTCAGTGGTGTCTGGTGTCATATCTGAGTTACCCTGCACAAGCACGTCATCGTCCTCTCCCTGACACTCAGTCATTTTTTTTTTGTCCTGCAAAGAAATGGTGTGTTAAATTCTAAGCCCATGAGCTGCAACTCATAGAGGTTGTATATCACCTATAGACCACTATGCAAAAATACATCTCTTGGTGAATACCTTCAGTATTAAAAAAAATCGCCATGAAGATACATAGTTGACACTTTATAATGTACAATGAGTATTTTAAAAATAAAAAAAAACATGCAATGCATAACCAATAAAACAAACAACCCAAGAAACCTAACAAAACTGACCTAACCAACTCTATTTATAATAAATAAATAAATAAATAAATAAATATAATATATATATATATATATATATATATATATATATATATATATATATATATATATATATATATATATATATATATATATATATATATATACATTATATTATTTCCACACACTGGTAGTCTCCCACCAAGGAAAGGTGACCCGACAAAAAACACTTGCACCATCATTCACACTAACACTGTCTTGTCATAGGCGCACAAATACGACAGTACAGATGTCCTTCTGAACAGCAAATATCCTCACTCTAATACATCCAGGGTAACAAGTAATTCAGATAAGATAGTGTGACCAGCCGGGGATCGAACCCGGATCAGCCTCCAGGGAAGCTGAACCCCAGACACCTCAGCACACACATATTCATGGGAGAGTGCTAAACCTGTACGGGGCATACAGCACCTGGAGGAATGGGGAGCAACTGAGTGAAAGGGTCGATCCAAGGAACGGAAGGACAAGGCCCAATTCCTTGGATCAAGAGCAATTAACCAGCCATCTCAAGATTTCATAAAAATAATTACGAATTCCAGCGCTGTAGCACACTAATAATAACTTCAACAACAGTTACAACAATAGTTACACTCAACTAACAAGTTCTAAACTTCCTTTCACAGGGAAAATGTCAAAAAAAAGTATAGAAAAAAATTCGCCAGATCTTCACTCGCTGTCAACAGTCACTTGTTCTTCCCATCATTCTAAAATAAACTTTTTTTTTAACTGATTTTTTTTCTTTACCCTAAAATTCTAGTAGAATAATTAACCATGTATTCTTCGGAATTTAAGAAAAACGTAATTAATGCTAAATTCAATTAATTCATAAGTTTTCAGTCGAAACATTCATAATTGTCTTATATTATTATTATTATTATTATTATTATTATTATTATTATTATTATTATTATTATTATTATTATTATTATTATTATTATTATTATTATTATTATTATTATAATTAATGTTATTAATATTATGACACATTCACAAAAGTGCTAAACCCGTACTACCTATGAATAATTACGGTCATCAATCTTACGTTCTTTATCTCTTCTTAAAATAAATTCCTCTATAATAAAGATAACTTTATTGCCTAAGGTAGACACAGTAGAGTTACACTAGCGGGTTAACAATAATATTTTTGTTATAGAGAAATATTCTATTCCTGGGACTCTCATTATATCCCTGGAACTCTCATTTTATCCCTGGGACTCTCATTCTATCCCTGGGACTCTCATTCTATCCCTGGGACTCTCATTCTATCTCTGGGACTCTCATTCTATCTCTAGGACTCTCATTCTATCCCTGGGACTCTCATTCTATCTCTGGGACTCTCATTCTATCCCTGGAACTCTCATTCTATCCCTGGGTCTCTCATTCTATCTCTGGGACTCTCATTCTATCCCTGGAACTCTCATTCTATCCCTGGGACTCTCATTCTATCCCTGGGACTCTCATTCTATCCCTGGGACTCTCATTCTATCCCTGGGACTCTCATTCTATCCCTGGGATTCTCATTCTATCCCTGGGACTCTCATTCTGCAAGTGCTATGGATCTCATCACACATTGGATTACTCCTTCATGATAAAGTTGATATGTTAGCCAAGAAGAGTACCCAGAAGGAGAATGTAGAATATAACTTTGGTATAACTGTGTCTAGCATTAGGAATAATATTAGGAGAGAAGTAAATAATGAAAATGATTGTTATAGGAATGCAGTTAGAAGCCTGAGTAGATCTATAACTCACTATGATAACATGAACGTAGATAAGTATGTTTATGGAGCAACTTGCAATGTGAACACTGACTGATGTTGTAGTGGCCAGGCTTAGGCTTGGTTACAAGTACTGACTGATATTGTAGTGGCCAGGCTTAGGCTTGGTTACAAGTACTGACTGATGTTGTAGTGGCCAGGCTTAGGCTTGGTTACAAGTATTGACTGATGTTGTAGTGGCCAGGCTTAGGCTTGGTTACAAGTACTGACTGATGTTGTAGTGGCCAGGCTTAGGCTTGGTTACAAGTACTGACTGATGTTGTAGTGGCCAGGCTTAGGCTTGGTTACAAGTACTGACTGATGTTGTAGTGGCCAGGCTTAGGCTTGGTTACAAGTATTGACTGATGTTGTAGTGGCCAGGCTTAGGCTTACCTCCTGGAGTTTACCTAGAGTTACTCCTGGAGTTTACCTGGAGAGAGTTTCGGGGGTCAATGCCCCCGCGGCCCGGTCTGTGACCAGGCCTCCTGGTGGATCAGCGCCTGATCAACCAGGCTGTTGCTGCTGGCTGCACGCAAACCAACGTACGAGCCACAGCCCGGCTGATCAGGAACTGACTTTAGGTGCTTGTCCAGTGCCAGCTTGAAGACTGCCAGGGGTCTGTTGGTAATCCCCCTTATGTGTGCTGGGAGGCAGTTGAACAGTCTCGGGCCCCTGACACTTATTGTATGGTCTCTTAACGTGCTAGTGACACCCCTGCTTTTCATTGGGGGGATGGTGCATCGTCTGCCAAGTCTTTTGCTTTCGTAGTGAGTGATTTTCGTGTGCAAGTTCGGTACTAGTCCCTCTAGGATTTTCCAGGTGTATATAATCATGTATCTCTCCCTCCTGCGTTCCAGGGAATACAGGTTTAGAAACCTCAAGCGCTCCCAGTAATTGAGGTGTTTTATCTCCGTTATGCGCGCGTGAAAGTTCTCTGTACATTTTCTAGGTCGGCAATTTCACCTGCCTTGAAAGGTGCTGTTAGAGTGCAGCAATATTCCAGCCTAGATAGAACAAGTGACCTGAAGAGTGTCATCATGGGCTTGGCCTCCCTAGTTTTGAAGGTTCTCATTATCCATCCTGTCATTTTTCTAGCAGATGCGATTGATACAATGTTATGGTCCTTGAAGGTGAGATCCTCCGACATAATCACTCCCAGGTCTTTGACGTTGGTGTTTCGCTCTATTTTGTGGCCAGAATTTGTTTTGTACTCTGATGAAGATTTAATTTCCTCATGTTTACCATATCTGAGTAATTTAAATTTCTCATCGTTGAACTTCATATTGTTTTCTGCAGCCCACTGAAAGATTTGGTTGATGTCCGCCTGGAGCCTTGCAGTGTCTGCAATGGAAGACACTGTCATGCAGATTCGGGTGTCATCTGCAAAGGAAGACACGGTGCTGTGGCTGACATCCTTGTCTATGTCAGATATGAGGATGAGGAACAAGATGGGAGCTAGTACTGTGCCTTGTGGAACAGAGCTTTTCACCGTAGCTGCCTCGGACTTTACTCTGTTGACGACTACTCTCTGTGTTCTGTTAGTGAGGAAATTATAGATCCATCGACCGACTTTTCCTGTTATTCCTTTAGCGCGCATTTTGTGCGCTATTACGCCATGGTCACACTTGTCGAAGGCTTTTGCAAAGTCTGTATATATTACATCTGCATTCTTTTTGTCTTCTAGTGCATTTAGGACCTTGTCGTAGTGATCCAGTAGTTGAGACAGACAGGAGCGACCTGTTCTAAACCCATGTTGCCCTGGGTTGTGTAACTGATGGGTTTCTAGATGGGTGGTGATCTTGCTTCTTAGGACCCTTTCAAAGATTTTTATGATATGGGATGTTAGTGCTATTGGTCTGTAGTTCTTTGCTGTTGCTTTACTGCCCCCTTTGTGGAGTGGGGCTATGTCTGTTGTTTTTAGTAACTGAGGGACGACCCCCGTGTCCATGCTCCCTCTCCATAGGATGGAAAAGCTCGTGATAGGGGCTTCTTGCAGTTCTTGATGAACACAGAGTTCCATGAGTCTGGCCCTGGGGCAGAGTGCATGGGCATGTCATTTATCGCCTGTTCGAAGTCATTTGGCGTCAGGATAACATCGGATAGGCTTGTGTTAATCAAATTTTGTGGCTCTCTCATAAAAAATTCATTTTGATCTTCGACTCTCAGTCTGGTTAGCGGCTTGCTAAAAACTGAGTCATATTGGGACTTGAGTAGCTCACTCATTTCCTTGCTGTCATCTGTGTAGGACCCATCTTGTTTAAGTAGGGGCCCAATACTGGGCGTTGTTCTCGATTTTGATTTGGCATAGGAGAAGAAATACTTTGGGTTTCTTTCGATTTCATTTATAGCTTTTAGTTCTTCCCGCGATTCCTGACTCCTAAAGGATTCTTTTAGCTTTCTCTGACCAGTGTCTCCCTGCGCATTTCAGATATATTGACCTCTTTTAGCCGCTCTGTTATTCTTTTCCGTCGCCTGTAAAGGGAGCGCCTGTCTCTTTCTATTTTACATCTACTCCTCCTTTTTCTTAGAGGAATAAGCCTTGTGCATACATCGAGTCCACCGAGTTAATCTGTTCTAGGCATAAGTTTGGGTCTGTGTTGCTTAGTATATCTTCCCAGCTTATATCGGTTAGGACTTGGTTTACTTGGTCCCACTTTATGTTTTTGTTATTGAAGTTGAATTTGGTGAATGCTCCCTCGTGACTAGTCTCATTTTGTCGGTCTGGGGCTCCTCGCATACATGTCTGAACCTCAATTATGTTGTGATCTGAGTATATTGTTTTTGATATGGTGACATTTCTTATCAGATCATCATTGTTAGTGAAAATGAGGTCTAGTGTATTCTCCAGTCTAGTAGGCTCTATTATTTGCTGGTTTAAATTGAATTTTGTGCAGAGATTTAAAAGCTCGTGTGAGTGTGAGTTTTCATCAGAGCTGCCTCCTGGTGTTATTTCTGCAACAATATTATTTGCTATATTCCTCCATTTTAGGTGCCTTAAGTTGAAATCCCCCAGGAGCAAGATGTTGGGTGCAGGAGCTGGAAGATTTTCCAGACAGTGGTCAATTTTTAACAGCTGTTCCTGGAATTGCTGGGATGTTGCATCCGGAGGCTTGTAGACTACCACAATGACTAGGTTTTGGTTCTCGACCTTTACTGCTAAAACTTCCACTACATCGTTTGAGGCATTAAGCAGTTCTGTGCAAACAAGTGACTCTGCAATGTACAGGCCAACCCCCCCCTTTTGCCTGTTCACTCTGTCACATCTGTATAGGTTGTAACCTGGGATCCATATTTCATTGTCCAAGTGATCCTTTATGTGGGTCTCAGTGAAAGCCGCGAACATTGCCTTTGCCTCTGCAAGCAGTCCACGGATGAAAGGTATTTTGTTGTTTGTTGCTGGCTTTAGACCCTGTATATTTGCAAAGAAGAATGTTATCGGACTGGTGGTATTGTTGGTACTGGGGGGGGATTTTTTTTCCGGCATTAGTATCTGTATCTGTTGGTTTGGAGTGGAGGCCATCGACTGTGGTTCCACTCCAGGAATGACTGGATTTGGTGTACGATTTCTGCCATTTCCTGCCAGTTTTTTTTCCTTCCTGGCACTAAAAAACCTGTCCCTCTTGAGTGGCTGTGGCTACCCAGGTTTTCCCATGGCCTGGATGTTTTGTATCTTTTTGTCCCCTTTAGATGGTATGCCTGGCAATTTAAGTTATAGCACAGTCTTTCCTGTACTGAAGAGGTACACATTTCAGGGTGAAAAAGCTTACAGGAAGGGAGTTTGCATTTTCCTGTTGTCATATGGGCATGGCATTTTCTAGGGTGGTCATAGTTGCACGTCCCATCTGTTTTTCCAGATTTCCCATGCCAGCAGATACCAAGTGCATAGTATGTGCACAGGCTTGGTTTCCGCTTGCCTTGGGTTTCTGTGACTGTATTCCCTG